TGTCTAGTTCAATGAAAGTACGGTTAGAAAGCTGAAGATTCCATACAAGTTATGAGAATCAAACTAAAGTGCAGTGTCAGTTGAAGTAATGAAATTAAGAAATTTCAATAGGATGAACTTCACTCGACTTGTATATTAATGCTGCTGAAATGCGCTGATTGATAGAGACCGTGATGCAAGCTCCCAAATCCTGTAGGTATATGACGTCATTGCACGGGTGCCAGCAACTGTGTTCGCATTCGCGTTTTTTTTTATTTTTTGCTTCTGATCCTTAAAGAAAAAAATGATGGCGTAAGCTCCGCACCGGTGTCTCTCTTTAGTTAGCTTTCTCCCGCTTGATCATGAAGTTGGCTTCGAACTCGTTTGCACGAAGTGAGTTTTGTGCATATTCACAATGGCAGGTGATTAAATTTGCTTGAAACAAAGAAAGTAGAGAAAGGTAGCCCATCAATTTTAGTTTGCGGTCACTTCTCGCTGTTCCATGAGATGAAGAAAAGGAATATAAGGTGAGACAAATTTCGACCCCTTTGAGCTTAAAATCCGCCATTTTGAAATTGAAGGCTTTGGAATCCTCACTATTCGAGAGGAAAAGCAGTCACTGTCCATTCATCTTTTGAAACCGGACATTATTGTAATTTTGTCGAAAAGGCGGATTGGATTTCCGGCTAAAAGCAATAATGTGATTTAGGCGGCAGACTTGATGGCAGGGTCGGAACGAGTCTCGCTCACCTCGCATGCGACTGAATTTCCCGAGGGGGAGTTGCTGAAGCCGTTCGGTTCCCACTAACGAAGGACGAGGGTTTCCTCACTGTCCGACGTTTCCAATTTCCATTTTGCGAGTAAATCCAGAGTGGGAAAGACGTATTGAGGAAAAAATCACGTTAAATGCTCAATAGAAAATATATATTCGCATTTATGAGAGCAGCTGTGGTAGATTGTTGTGCCACATTAGGCAAATCTGCACATACATGTATATGCGGAAAACCCATTAGATACAATGCAATGTAATGGCTAGAGATTTTGCCTTCTTCTCCTCACATTTTCGTTTCGTTACTCTCTATTGAACATGAAATTGCACCCTCCCCAACCCCCGTACCCATGTTGGGAACAGCGCATTCAGTAAAGTCCATGAAAATAACGCTAAACTGCATCGCAGGTGCTTTGTGAAAATATTTTGTTGTGAGAAGCATGCAGCCCGTGACTGGAAATGTCCACAAATCCGTCTTTGTTTTGCGCATAGGTCCCCCCCCCCCCCCATTCCTTTGGGAGAACACTCTGAACCGAATCTACATACTCGCACATAACGACTTGAACATGTCTGTCCGGATTTTGTCCAGGGAACTCATCCCGGGTTTCTCAACCGATATCTCATTCGATTTGTAATTTTTTAATTTTTTGCAGATGTGCAAACAATTTTTTTTTCAGGGTTGACCTTTGACCTGACCCAGATTGCCTTTCATATTAATATTGGATCCAAATTCCTGCGTCATAATCATTCGAAAGCCCTTGCTTTCCTCTCTTAGAATTTTTTTTTTTTTCCATTGTAAAAAAGTTGAAATTTGATCCTACTGTGGTCAATCTGAGTTGAGAATGCACTGGCGCCATCTCTGTACAGTCTAGGAAACTGCTTTGAGACTACTGTACAGCACCGGTTTTCAGCTCTTGACTTCACATCGAAACTCACATTTCTTCTCAGTTGCACTAAGAAGTGTTCCTCATTCTCATCATCCGCGATTCTCCCAGAACCTGTAATTTTCTCATCACCTCTAGCTCTCACCACACTTTGCTCCTTCGTTAAAAGCGACTTTCATACTGTGCACGATGAGATGTTCTAAATTTGGCATTAGCAATCGCCATCCAGGGATCAAAGTGGGCATGGTTGTACACGGGCTGGCTTTTCGGAATTCGACCCGATCGGTTTTGATTCAAGTCTTGACTCGCGCCCGACACGAAACCCTGATGGCTGCCGGTCCTAACGGTCCGACTCGACCCGAGATGAATGGGAAAATTTCAGCGCCATTTCGGGTATTTGAGTGGAATCATTTTAACGGCTGGGAATTCACTTTCATTCTTACCAACTGTGCTAGGCATGCGTGCTTGGAGATAAGCGCATGATAAGGTATCTGTAATTTTCTTACAGCCACCAGGGAAAATTGAGAAACAGTGAATTCGCCATTTTGAAACCCCGGTAACTCTTGTAATTATGAACATTTATTCTGACTCGACACGGAATCGAGGAAGACGGGAAAATTATTCAGGGAGGTGGGCACACTTTGGCATCCCCGGTTTTGTCTTTTATGAAGTTGCCCACGTAATCTGGAACAAAAGGAAGTTTATGGTAATTAGCCCAATTAACAACTGGATATATTGCTAATGATGAGTCTCATGCACTCACTGGCGACCCTTGTATAGACACCGGGGAATTTTCTGTCCGCACATCCGAATCCCCACGATACGACCCCGACTTCCACGAAGTATCCTGTCTGGGTTCTCGACATCACCGGCCCTCCCGAGTCACCCTATGTGCCGCAGCCAGGCGTTTTAAATGCGATGTTTTAAAAGGCGTTTTAGATGCGATATTGAATCTTGTGGTGATGGCAGGAAGTCTACGTTCTTTAGTTAAAAATGGGCCTTCGAGAGAGGGCTGCTTGTTTTTCTTCTTCACGAATTCAATTTCTTTTCTTTAATTCTGGTATCCTTTCACGAAAGTCCGTAAAAAAGAAACCGAATCAGACATTCGGAGATTATCCTCATTAATCTTTCTTGTTAAGTTTATTCGAATTTCATCCTCTCTTCCTGCTGTAATTTCTGATTTTATGTCGATTGCAGAGTAGAACATAATATCTAATTTATCTCGAAGTTCACTTTACATATTATTATAATGACCTCAGTGCAAATTCTATTTTTTCTGCGCAAGAAAATTATTTCCTGTTATCTTTTTCCTCGACCCACCTGACAAGCATCTCTGCCAGGAGCAGAAGCACAGAACATGCTGCCAGTGATGTTTCGTCCTGTTGTTGATGCTAATGGATTATAGGCATTCTCACACGTCGTCTTGTTGTCGACCGTTACCACAGCTTCTCTCATTACTTCTGCCACATATCCACCTGCCCCAAAACGATCAATGTCAAATTTGAAACATAAAATCTTGGCTGACACGGCACTTTAGTTTGATTCTCATAACTTGTATGGAATCTTCAGCTTTCTAACCGTACTTTCATTGAACTAGACAGCATTATTTTTTCACAGTCGACGTCTTATTGAACGTCTGAGACGCGACAACCAGAACATATCAATTTAGAAATGCTTCATCAGATTGCCGCTTACCCCAAGGGAGTGATGAATGCCAAAAGCAAGACAGACCTATCTTGGGCTTACCAAAGGAGGTTGTGCCCCATCCAGCGATGACAACATCCTGACCCGCCACGGGTTGAGCCGAAGAAGAGAGGCAGATGGGACGGATGTTGGGATAGGCGTGGAAGTTCACGGGGGTGTGCAGTCTCAACAAGGCTATGTCGTTGTTTGATGTCCTGGCTTGATAGTCCGGATGGACCATGCCAGTCGAGTTGATGGTGATGGAACGGCTTTCTGTAGAACTCGACTTGTCCAGGTCACCCAGCGTCACAGAGTATGTCCAGCCATTCCTGTATTCCGTAAGGAAAGAAACAAATACGAGATCAAATGAAATTTCACGATCCAATGAGCAGGGACGCCCAGAGGTTTCCTGCCAACGAGAGAAATAAGATTTCCAATTAAATATCCGAAAAGCCACGGGCGCATATAATTTTCGCTGCGAGTATGCATGAATTTTCAATTGATTGGAATTTATATATATGCACCTTTCAAAATGTATATCATATACTTCAAAACTATAATTTAGTAATTGACCGGAATGATTTTGATCATTATGAATGCTGAAATCTGATTAATCCAGAGAATCCCGCAAAGAAATCCTACGAGTCGAAAAAGAACAGACACAACACAATGAGCAGCAGTAAGAATGTATCGATCGTTGATGAGAGCACCACCGCATCCCCCGAAATAGGCCATCCAAGGGTACTTTCGCTGGTCCGTCACCGCAATTCCTCCCACTATTCGATCCACATCATCTTCCTCGTTTGTTGCTTTCCTCCCCGATACAATACCCGATTGGCCCACCTGGGACACGCCGCAAGCTAGAGGGGGGGGGGGGGGGGGGGGGGGGGACAAAA